AAAAAAAAACTATGGAAAAATATTTTATTTATATGGGAGATGATTACTTAAATGTTCATTTTATGAATATTTATTCAATCGAAATTTGCATATTTCCCTGTTCTGTTATTTTCACAATTTAATGGTGTGGACATATTTTAAAAGAAGCTAAGTGTCATTCCGGAAGCAAAGCACCACAAGCCACAAATAAGAAAAAAGAGGTCATGATCCCATCACCGAGATCAAAGTGTAATTTAATATCTCAGTTTATATCCTTTTCTTTTTCTGATAGTGTGAATAAACAAAACTGGGACCATGTGTGTGAGGTATTTTGTAATTTACTAGATTGTTAACATTTTCCAGGCTATTAGATATTTTCCTAAATGAAAATTTCTAGGGGAAGGAAGGAAACCAAAGAGGTCAATGTAGACCCTGTGCTGTTCATGAAGCAGGCAACAGATTGGGAGAAATGGAGCTGTCCTTTTTCATAGCCCTGTGTGACACAGAGGGAAAGGAGACAGAGTCAAGGCCAATTCAAAGGGGAATTCGAATAGGAAACTCTCTCCCCGTGGAGCTGAGGCTCCAAATGCCTAGACCTTAATGTAGGTAAACACAGGAATAACCACACTCCACTCCCACCTAAGGGACTTCAAAGAATCCTGCCTTGGAACTGAGAAGAGCAGGGAGGTGGGAGCATCCCTGAAATTTGCAGCTCAGATCCACATCACCTGGTTATCAAAAGAGAGTGAGAGAGAGAAAGCCCTTAAAACTATTAAGTGGGGCTCAGGCTGGAAGATGCAAATATCATTTCCGTAGGAAGCTACCTTCACTCTATATCTTTGAGATAACACATTGAATATTGAATACTAGAACCTACCTTCAGTCTCTATCTCAAAGAAAACCCACCCAACATATATCAAGACCAATCAAAAATAGTCAAACATAGTAGGAAACAAGACAGCAAAGGTGAATCCATGTAAACAACAACAAAACAACCAGAAAATACTTCAGATAAAATCACTAGTCCTTTACATGAAATCACTCTTTGCTATGTTCAAAGACATAAACCATCTAAAAGTACCTGTAGGTAGCACGTCACCTAGCAGAACACAGGAATGATCAAAGTATTGCTAATATTACACAAATAAAATTTTGCTGAAGGTAATTAAAAACTGGTTGCATCCATAGGGAACTGCCAGAAACTCAAGCAGGATTCAGAAAGATCATTGAACAAAGGATCTCCTTGCTGATGTCAGATGGAACTTGGCTGAAAGCAGAAAATACCAGAAAGGTGATCACCTGTGCTTTATTGACTATGCAAAGACACTCAACTATGTGGATCACCACAAATTATTTATAAAGTAGCCGAGAATGGAAATTCCAGAGCACTTGATTGTGCTGATGCAGAACATTTTCATAGACCAAGGCAGTAATTCGAGCAGGTTGAAGGGATCTTGTGTAGTTTAGAATCAAGAAATAGTTGTATCCTGTTTACGGTTAGCCAAAAATAAGTCTCTGGGAATTCATGGAATACCAATAGAAATGTGTACTAACGGGTGCCTCAGGGTGGTATCCCTCACTATCCTTACTCAATCTGTATGCTGAGCAAATAATCAGAGAAGCTGAATTATATGAAGAAAAAGGGCAATATGCTTAAATCTAAGCAAATGTATTAGACCATAATGATAATGCCTGATGGCATTAAAGTGGAATTAAAATGCATATCAACACATATGTCAGCGAGGAGAAGATCTTGATGGCACCTCGTTTGTTGCTCATTTCTTGCAGAACAAAGTCATGCGTTATAGTTCATTATCTGGAAAAAATAGCTTGTTTTTTTTCCATCACGTTTTCTTGTTACTTATGGAAAAATGTTAAGTAATGTTTATATTATTTTATTATGCCCACAAGCTAAGTCATAGATGATTTAAAAAAAAACAACGAACAAAAGAAATTGGGCCTACTGAGTTGTATTACAATAGAGGATCAGGGAGCCTGCAGTAGGTGAATGATTTCACCATTTAACCTTCAGTATTGTTAGGATTTCTCAACATGTATGTGCCTTATGTTTTCAATAGAAAGAAAAAGCTAGTTAGTAAAAATGTTAGTGCTCGCTGAGAGATTTGACGCTTCAGAACAAAACCAGACTTCTCTGAACAGGAAACAAAAAAAGAAAAGAGTCTTAGAAATGAAAAATGAGTATTAACAGAACATTCATGAAAATAGTAAGAATGGACATATTTAAAGTCTAATAGGTGGTCCAGAGGAACAAAGGAGGAAGCACCTAAAAATGTAAAGCAGAAGGACAAAGACATGGAAAGTGTGAGAGAAAAGCTACCAGGCATGAAGGCCAGGTCTGGATGTCACCCTTCCTCTGCCAGGCGTCCGTCCCAACAGAAAGAAAAGGAGACGAAGGAGAGGAAGCAAAAACAAGCAAGCCTAAAAAGAACGTCTAAAGGAACAAGGGGTTTCACTCATCCCAAGCAGGGCAAACAAATTATGGCAAAGGTAGACACTGATTAGTGACATTTCTGAACTACACAGATGAAGCAATGTTGTTAGGGGCCATCGAGTTGGTTATGACTCATAGCAATTCTGTACACAACAGAAGGAAACTGCCCTGTCCTGCACCATCCTCACAGTTGCCATGTTGACCCCATTAGGGCAGCCACTGTGACAATCCACTTTGTTTAGGGCCTTCCTCTCTTTTTGCTACCCCTTGACTTCACCAGACATGATGTCCTTCTCCAGGGATTGGTCATTCCTGACAACATGTCCAAAGTGAGTTGGAAGAGGTTTCACCATCCTTGCTGCAGAGCAGCGTTCTGATTGCCCCGCTTCCAAGACAGATCCGCTTTTTTTAGCAATCCCTGATGCTTGCAATATTCTTTGCGAACACCACAATTCAAATGCATCAACTCTTCTTCCCTTTTCCTTATTCAAAGTCCTGCTTTCACATGCATATGAGGTCATTGAAAATATGACTTGGGTCAGGCACACCTGGTAGTGGGATGCAACTAATTTAACAACCAGTTTGTTGCCCCATTGACTGAAGATAAGATAAAAAGATATACTGAAAGGTAGTTTATTATTTCATTCCATTAATAATTAAATAAAAATACAAGAGGTACACAAAACTAGGTTATAAGAAAGTTTTAAAATATTAAGTAGTACCTGACAAAAAGGCTATTATTGAAGATATTTCCATATTGCTTCCTGATTAGCATCCTCACTTGCAATATCTTTCACTTTTATCTGAGCATTATCGGCTCTATGATTTATTCTTTGTGTGTGATCTAAGTGGGTTTTAAAAAAATCATTTTATTGGGGGCTCGTACAACTCTTATCACAATCCATCCATCCATCCATTGTGTCAAGCATATTTGTACATTTGTTGCCATCATCATTCTCAAAACATTTTCTTTCTACTTGAGCCCTTGGTATCAGCTCCTCATTTTTACCCTCTCTCCCCACCCCCCTCACGAACCCTTGATAATTTATAAATTATTATTTTGTCATGTCTTACACTATCCGATGTCTCCCTTTACCCACTGTTCTGTTGTCCGTCCCCCAGGGAGGGGGTTATATGTAGAATGTACGATTTTTCTTAGCCACCTTTTCACTGTAGGAATAGGATCCCATTCCTTTAATGGTAGGCCATTTAGATAATAGTCATTGTATTGTGCAATTCCTCGTTAATATAGTGATAAAAGAGTCATTGTGCTTGCTATATTAAAAACAACTTTTCTGAACACATGTTCATCTCTGAAAAACCTCTGCACTTCTGCTGACCTTAAGGAATTGTTCTGACAATATTTGAACACTTTCAGGAATTACATAATTCTCTTGTCGTAGCTCTGGGAATTTGGAGCACAACACAAAGCTTAAAGGAATGACGGTGTGTCACCTCTGATTGTTTGGTACTTTTTCTGTTTACATTAGGTGCTTGTTTACTGAAGCAACAAACATAAGGGAATGAAAAGGTAGTATTTCATCAAAAGTATAAGAGTTTTATGAAATGAGGAAATACTATAAGCATAGTTCTGTCTAATTTTTTATAAGTACAGACTGAATGAACATTACTTCAGGCACTTAGAATCCACTGTTGTGCAAATGAATGTTAAAAAAGAATAAGGAATGTAAATTTGCGATTTCCACATTGAAAGAACCCTGATTACAAGTGCCATCCTAACAACGGGTTCGCTGAACTCAACAAAAAATTAGTTACTGGTTTTGCTGAACCAGTGCCAACCAGCTGAGTCCCACAACTGGGAGCACCTTAGTCCTCAAAGTAACATTCTCACTTTTCAGCACTTTAAACATAAACCAATATAAATCCTGAAAGCTTTCAGAGAGGAAAACCAGAATACCACCCAAAGCAGAAAATACACTCAGCGACATCGATGCTAAGTTGTGTCTTACTGCTGGCAAAATTCTATTAAGCCGTTCTCTCCTCAGAGCAGCTAAATGTTTTTATTTTGTTTTCCACTCTGGGTGTCTGTTAAATCAGTGAAGAGAAGGTTGATATGGACCAATAGCACTTTCCCCATAAGCATAGACAACTGTTGTGTTCCAGCTACCTAGAGGTTCTACGTACTGCCTAGATAAGGAGAACTGGAACACAAGGTGTGTTCCAGCCCCTCAGAGAGACAACTGTTATTTGCCTTTGTATTAGCATCTTGTGTTTGCTCATGGGTGCCGGGCTGCTCATGTGCAAGACCAGCATTTTGAAACCACCAACTGCCCCTCAGGAGAAAAATGAGGCTTTCAACTCTGGTTCAGAAAGATTTGCAGTCTAGGAAATGCACAGGGTAGATCTATTCAGTCGTGCAGGGTAACTAAGAGTCAGAATCGACTCAATGATATATGCTCATGTGCTTGCAAAGTGAATGAATGAGTGGGGTTTGTTTGCCCTTCCTTAAGAACTGGCAGTCCTCTCAGGTTGAGGGGGACAGGGGACAGGGCAATATTTGCCTTCCGCCAATCACACAACTGATTGGATTTTTTCCTCTCTGTAGTTATAGGCTGCCGATCAAATTCTGAATTTGAAAGTTACATAACTGATGATCCCAAAGCTTTCTATGCATTGGCTGGAATTGTTTTTGATCACAGCTTCAGTAACAGCAAGGATCCCTTGCCCCTTTCGGTAAGAACATAGTCTCTCTCAACAATCTCGTGGTTCCCCAGCCTGACCTTGAACCTGCTTTGGGTCTTTCTCAACTCCATCAGCCAGCTGCCACCTTGTTTGCAGAAGAGACATTGAGTGCCCTCCTAGTTTTCTGATTCTTCTAAGAGTGGAGACTTGTCCCAAGCAAGCCTGGATCCTGAGAGGACAGGCTGGTGGTATATGCTCAGTTGCTTGATGAGTATTGCAGAAGGCTAGAAAGATGGACTCCCAACATCCTGGCTTTGCAAGGTATGAGCTGGATGACCCTGGAAAACTTAGCAGCACTTCTGGGCCTCTGCTCCCTTCTCAGTGTAGTCAGGCTCACAGAGTTGTCGAAGAAATTATACCAGCTGATGATGGTCAGGCACTTAGAGCCCGGACACTGGAATTTTCCACAAGTAGCCCTTACTATCGTTGTCACAATGATTAATCTCATGGGACGTCAGACATGGTAAGTCTATTTATTTATTTTTTTATAAGGGAGAGGAGGCAGTGTTTTAAGCTTGAGACCATCTCCCTTCTGTTTGGGGAATAGAAAAACGTCTAGAGAGTACGCTGATTTTATTTGGTGTTGTACACTCTTGATAATATGTACACTCTTGATAATCTTATTTGGTGTATATTCTTGATAATGATTGAAAATTAGAAATTGCATGGGGTGTTGATAGATGGAGAAAGACATGGAATGTGTTCCTGAGCTTTGCCCTAGCTCCAGCCCTCATTGCCTCTATAGTGTCCAGTCACTTGGGTTTTTAATCTGTACAAGTCAACGATCCGTGTATTTTAGTCTAAAAAGTTGCCCTATACATATATACTTTCCTCTTCTAAACAGTATTTTATATTCTATACCATTGGCTAAATTAAGGAGCCCTGGTGGCATGTGGTTAAGCACTGAGCTGCTAACCATAGTCAGCAGTTCGAAACCACCAGCCATTGCACAGGAGAAAGATGAGGCTTTCTGCTTCTGTAAAGAATTATAGTCTCAGAAGCCCACAGGGGCAGTTCTACTCTGCCCTGTAGGGTCACTATGAGTCGGCATCAACTTAATGGCAGTGAATTTGGTTTGGGGTTTGGTGTCAGTGGAATTAATATATGCCCCCATGGGCATGATTTATAATATTCCTCAATAAAAAGATGATGGTTCTAAAATGGCCCACGGACTTTTATATAAATTATAGATACATAAATGGATTTTGAGCTCATACTTAATCGTAAGCCCTAATCTAAAAGCAATTAGTTCTTATGATGTGGCCCTGCTCCATACTTGCCCTCCTGAAAAGATCGCTAAAGATATGGGTGCTCTAGCAAAGTGTGGTGAAGAAATCAGATGGTGCCCGACTGTCAGAAAGAATAGCATCTTGGGTCTTAAAGACATATTTTAAAACAGCAGCCATCTAAGTTAGGCGCCAGCTAAGTTCACGCTGAAGAAGTACACCAACCTGTGTGATCCAAGAACCGTAAATAATAAAATCAAGACAGGAGGAAGGAACGGCATTAAAACTTAAATTCTGAGCACTGGGTTTGCCAAGGGCTATGAATGATAATGAAATGCCAGAATCCATTTGTAGCATCCACAAGTGGATTAAGCCTCTGGATCTCTTCTAACCATTGGCCAGGGATGTGAATACCCCTGCTATCAGACAGAGTGCATTGGAAAGTGAATTAATGCAAATATAATTTATTTAAACATTTCCTGTTTTTTCCCTGCCCTGCCCCTGTTAAAAATTTAACACCTTATCATTTGTTTTCTTTTGATGCTTTAAAATTTTTTTATAGTTTTTACTATTTTCTGCTTTCTTTTGGATTGAGGTTCTTCTGTGTTTTACTTGGTTATTGTTAGGGAGGAGTTGTATGTGTTTTTGTTTTTCAGGTAACATTCACAGGATTTATTCAAGTGTTTAAGAAATATATTAAAATGGAAAGCCACCAGTACAAAAGTGAAACTAATGAGTCTGAGAAGAAAATTAGAGATCAAATAGTTATGGGCTAAAATCAGGAAGTCACATCACAATATTTTGATTGATTCTTTTTTTTAAACAGTTTTATTAGCACCTCATTCACATGTCATACACCTCAACAATCCAATCATACCAAGAAGAGTTGTACAATGACCAGCACATGCAATTCTAGAACACATTCTTCCTTGTACTCATTGTTATTCATGAAATTATTTTTTTCTGACTGTAGCAAAACTATACTCAAAACAACATTCTCCAATTCCACAACTTCTACTTGTATAATTCAGTGCCATTGATTGTACTCTTCATGTTATACAAGGTTTCTCTTTATGTGAAATCCAGGATAGGTGAATCTATAAAGGCAGTAACGGAGTTAATAGTTTCTTAGGGTTGTGGTAGGGAAGTTTGGGGGGAAATGGATATCTAACAATAATGAGTAGCAAAATGAAGAAAATATTCTAAAATTGATTGGGTTATGATTGCGCAACTCTTTGTAAAAGGTTTAAACCATTGAATTGTATGGTCTGTGAATTGAATCTCCATAAAATTGTTAAAATATTAAAAGAGACATCAAAATAAAACTACCACCATCTTTCAAAGACTCACTAGTACTGGACTACGTTGCAGGGCCCCTCTCATTTCATTCTACAACCCACAAGGGAAGTGCTGTGACTATTACTCCCATTTTATTCATGAGGAAACTGAGGCAATGCAAGGTATTGTCTGAATGCACGGTGACTTGCCTGAAGTAACAAGGCCAGTCAATCAGAGAGTTTGGATTGGGCTCAGGCCTGGCACAGCAGCCTCCTTCTGAGCTATTTGGCAGTACGCTCTTCCATATGTGGTGGAGCTGCGCATTGTCTGGGTCCCTCCCGTGATAGCACTGCAACTGGGCCCCGAGGGACTTTTGCCGGTGGAGCGGCTTTCTCTGGTCACCGCCATGTGACCACACCTTTGTGGGGCCCTACCCCACTTCTCAGTCTCAGCTTTCTCTGATTGAATTTATCTTGTTTATTCTCCCTAGGTCAGGTATTCCTTGCGCTTCAGCGCCATCATGAGGAATTTTTTACAATTGCGGTTATTAACCCCTCTAGAATTCGAAGGCTGGACCACAGCCTGGCTTTACCCTCCAAACCCAGGACAAGAGCCCCGGGAGAACATGCATAACAGTGGAGGCCACCCCGGTGAGGAAACGCCAAGTCTGCGGTGCTGTTTCTGTTATTCTGGTCAGCAAGTCCAGTTCATCTGGAGTGAACTGTCTTGAGATTCAAATCGTCTACTGCAGAGTAATAAGCACAAGAAACCCATGCTTACCTTACTGGGTGGCTACTGGGTCGGTCCCTGTCAGGGAATGTCCCTTGGAAGTCTTTGATTCTGTAGGAAGGTTCTGTGGGGCTGGGGCTGGGAGACAAACAGATGCCAACCATCCCCAGAAGCGGATTCTCTGATGTGGTGAGAAACAATGTGAAACTGTTCAGTATGGATGAGAAAGTAAGCACAAGGAAGCCTGTGCTTACTTTGATGGCTAGGTACTCTGCTGCTGTCCAGTTAATTGGAGCAGAGCAGAGCTGCCCCGAGGGTTTCCTCGGCTGTCATCTTTACCGAAACTGACTGCCTCTCTTGGTCCCGTGTGGTGGCTGGTGGTTTTGAACCATAGATTTTTTTCATTGTTGTTAGCAGTTGAGCACTTAGTCACTGCACCACCACATCTTAGATTCTCCCAAGGACTCACTTTTAGGTAGACATCCCTACCTTTAAGATAAAATTCTTTCAAATAAGAACTTACATATTTCTGAACACTGTCATTCCAGACTCAATTCCAAAGCTGGTCTATTGAGTTGGTGCCTCCTCACAGCGACCTCTAGTTTGCACTTTGAGTCTCCCACCATCTCCAAGGTATGACGTCTGCCATTTTCTCGTATAGGATACCACAAAGAAGGCTTCCTAGCGATTCAGCATGCAGTGGATAAGGCCATCATGTGGCACCACGTCCAAGATGCCATGACCCAGATGTTTAAGAACGTCAGTGTGCTCCTAAAGAGGTTCCCGTATGGATCCTACATCCAGGACCACTTCTTCGTGGTCCTGCAGAACGAGTTCTCGCCCCTCCTCATGCTCAGCTTCATCTGTATTGAGCTCACTATCATCAACTCCATCACCGTAGAGAAAGAGAGGAAGCTGAAGGTAACCCCCCTTGAGCACATAGTGGCTCAGAGTGACCTCGTACACAATGGAAGGAAACACTGCCCGGTCCTCTGCTAGCCTCACAAGTATGTTTGAGCCCACTGTTGCAACCACTGTGTCAATCCATCACGGTGAGGGTCTTCAAGTTTGCTGACTCTCTAATACCCTTTTCCAGGACCCCCACCCACCTAGACCCTTCACCCAAGTGTGCTGGGGGGGTGGTTGGCAACAGTGTTAACCCAGCCCAGCAGGAGATGAGTGCTGGCCAGTGGTGTCACGCTGGCTCTCTTGCTTCCCGCAGGAGTACATGTGTATGATGGGACTGCACAACTGGCAGCACTGGGTGGCTTGGTTCATCATGTTCTTCTTGTCCGTCTCCATGGTCGTCTCCTTCATGACCGTGCTCTTCTGCATGAAGGTATGTCTTTCCCCCAGGAAGTGCGTGTATGCAGCGAAGAGGTGAGCAGGATCCTCGGTGGTGGTGGGACTGAAGTTCAAAAACAGATGAGTCACAGTGACCCGAACCACTCGGAACCACAGGCGGTGCTCTGTGGTGGTATTTACTACATCTGTAGGGACTGAAGTGTGTGTCTAAGCTTAGGATCCAGAGGAGCGGTGCTCGGCCTTCAGTTTGCTGGTTTCCAAGGGCTGACTGTGGGTGTGAATGACTCCATGAGCAAAGTGGAGTGCCAAATAACATATCTCATCAACCTTATAGTGTCCCAAATTTTATCACCTATAAGTAGTAGAAAATAGTTACTGTAAGAACGAAGGGCGGGCATTCTTTCATACCCATGATCTCATTCTTTTTTCTTTTATGCTGTCAATGAAATTGGGTGTTACAATCTTCTAGCATAAATTTAATGACAGCTATAATAATCCATTACATGAATATACAAAAAGTCACCTTCTAAATGACCAACATTGTCACCATTTGGATAAAGGCATGTTGGAAGACCTTAACGGAAAAGGAGACAAAAGAAATGGCCAGGAAACATTCAAAAGAGACAACATAAGATAACACAAAATAATAATAAAATGAGCTGTGATAGTACTAATTAAAATGGGATAAGCTCATTTATTAAAAGAAGAAGATATTCATATTGGATTAAAAATTAAATGCAGAACTTAGGTTCTCTGGAACAAAAGAGGGAGAGAAACCCTCAATACAACTAAAATTAAACTACCACTTGACCTGGCACTACCACTCCCAGGTACATATCCAAAGGAGCTGAAAGCAGAGCCTCAAACAGGTACTTCTTGTACAGCAATGTCGTTGTAGCACTATTCACAGAAGCCAAAAGGTGAAGCAGCCTAAATGCCCACCAACAGATGAATGCCTAAAAAATAATGTGGTACCTATTACAATGCAATATTACTCAGCCAGCAAGAGAAATGAAGTCTTGATAAGAGCCACAGTATGATGGTGCAAGAGACATTGTGCTGAGTGAAATAAGTAAATCACAAAAGCAGAGATATCATACGACCTTACTTACATAAGAAGACAAATGTTTAGAGATCAAAGTTCATTAGTGGTTACCAGGTTTGGGAAGGAGTGGGAAAGGTTGATGGGTAATTGCTATGACTTGATTTTTAGTGATGGAAAATTCACATTGATTAAGAGGAGGATTGCATAGCTGATCAATGTAATTGCTTTCAATAAGTTATACACCTGTAAAAAATTTGAACTGCCAAAAATTGTGTGGTAGAAGTATTTATGATGACATACACAAAAATCATCTGGTTAAGGCTCCTTATATACAACCAGATAGCTCGTGGGGTTTGCTTTTTGGGTTTTTTGTTTGTTTCTTTTTAGTCGGGGGAGAGGATTGCTTTCTTAGTTTGGAGATTCAGGGTCATGATTTTATAGGAGCATCTCAGTTGACCAAGGAGCCCTGGTCCTACAGTGGATTACGTGTTGGGATGCTAACCACAGAGTCAGCAATTTGAGCCCACCAGTTGTTCCTCAGGAGAAGGATGAGGCTTTCTGCTCCTATAAATATTTACAGCCCAGAAACCCATGGAGGCGGCAGTTCTACTCTGGACAGCAGGGGACTTGCACAGTACGTTGGAATTGACCTGATGGCAATGAGTTTTGAGTTAACTGACCTAATATATTCCGTGCTTCTGCTTCACCTCCCAGTTCATTGCATGGTGCCTGGGGGTTTTAAAGCTTGGAAGTTGCTATCACAAGGCCCAATAATTGGCTTCTACTCACCTGACACAACAAAAATAGAAGGGGAGTCAGGAACAGGAAATAGTATGAGTGGCTGATTGCCTCCATGAGTAGCTGCCCCCTTTGCCAAGAGACCAGAAGAACTGAATGATGCCCACCTACCATTATTGAACAATTTGATCAAAGATTCTGTAGAAGAATACTAGTCAAATGCAGGGGGGTTAGAGAGCAGAACAGTTTCAAACTCTTGCGAAATCCAGGTTCTGGAATCATGCAACCCGGTAAAACCTTGAAATTACCGACCAGAGATCATCTTTAACCCAACAACCAAAAACACTCCCTAAGTCTTCTGAACACCAGTAAAGATGCTCTGAACGTGACAGTAATGTCACGTAAGTAGTGAAGAAGGTCTACCTTAAACATTGTGCTATTTTAAGATCTATGTATGGGGGGGCCTTCAAAAGTTTTGTGGGAAAGTGACATTTAAAAGACAGCAGGACTCTTCTATGAACATTTTGAAACCCTCTCATTTATGGGATCAAATTGACAACAGCAAATAGAACGCTTTGATAGAAATTTTCGAAGTTAGCAAGTTTATGTTACTAGGGGAGAAGCAACTCTGAAAAGAAGAGTGAACATTGTTGCATCATTTAAAGAATGGCCCAATGTCACCAAATTGCACTTGCAAAAAGGGTTGAGCTGGCGTGCGTTGTTGTGCTGTCTTCTCAACAAAAGTAAGATAAATGATCAAAACTAAAAAGCTACTTGGAGAGGACATCATTTCTAAATGGTAAGGGCATTTGTTGTACACAGGGTCGCTCTGAGTCTGAACCAACAATAACAACAACACCAATAGCATTGCCAGGTCGAAAATCTGTCTTAGAAACAATATCATAATATTTTGCTTGAAGATATGTCAGAAGAAACCAGCCTCTACAACCGAAGGGCCTGCAGGCACAATTGTATGGTGATAATATATAAAGGTTATAGTAAAATCATAGACGATAGGAGAGAGAATAAAATAAAGGAGGAGTCAGACACATGTTATGGTAACATGCTCACCTCAGCCCCTCTTGGTGGTCCATGTGGAGGTGGGAGAAGAGAGAGCATCTTTACTGTCTTGGGATATTTATAGGTAGCCATAAGACATGGATATTCAGGCGTTACATATATCACAAGGTGGGTGGTAACTACACTAAGGTTCCTGAACTCACAGGTGAGGAAACCCAATACCTGCATTGGGGGAAGGTATGAGGGGGGCTGGGTGACACAGCGGGAGGGGATAATAAAAGGATGTCTGCTTCTGTAGGGAGATAAAATCAACCATGTGCTCACTTTAAGGCTTCATAGCTGTTAGGGGAGAATCTGTGGGAATATTTAAAGCAGGATCATGTACTTGGACTTTAACTTACCAAAGTGGTGTCTTTCCTACCATGGAATACCAGCGTTCCAGATTCCCTCTGTTATAAGTTAGGGAATATAGTCCTCATCATATTTCCATCAGTGTTAGTTTCTCACATAGATAGTGTTACTATTTTAAATTTCTGTGTTGTTACAGGAGTGTTTTATGTCTTCTCTTCATCCCGTCCACATAAACTTGATGTCCATCTGTGATTGTTTTGTAGATATCTGAGGTGGCAGTGTTCAACAACAGTGATCCTCATTTGATTTTTCTTTTTCTAATGTGTTTTGCTCTTGCCACACTATCCTTTGCTTTCATGGCCAGCACGTTCTTCACAAAAGGTGAGTCCCAAACCCGTTGTCTTCCAGGGAGCGGGTTTATGGATCCTCCTCAAAGCACAGCTCTTCCCATCACCCAGAGCGTCCATTAGTACCCCTCCAGAGCCAGGGGTGTGTGGCTTTGACAACTCTACTTGTCATGAGAGGCCTGTTGGAAACATGTGAGAACATGTACACCTTCTAACATACCATTCCTAATGGAGACGAGGAGTGAGTCTCCATTGGAAAGACAAGAGAGAAATCAGATCTCCAGGGCAACCCATTTTCCAGGTCTTGGTCGTGAAGTTGGGACCCAAGAGAAGGCTGGCTTCTAGGTCTCCATTTTAAGAGAATTCCTTGGAACTTGGTTGCATTTTGAGGGGTGCTGACTCTGAAGTTATCAGTAGGATTGAATAATTACAAGGGCCAAAAATATGAGTCAGAGTTCAGGAGAATTAAATTGTGGGTCAGCCTGGCCAGGACTAGATAGAAATATTGATGTAGGACAGATCCAGCAACAGGTAACAAAAAGTGCCTAAGAAGAAAAAC